ATTCAGGGTGGTTAGGATAGATATATAGTTACATTCTGTTAATGAATAGAATGATTTGTTCTAATGGTGTTTGTAAATAGGATGTCGAGTCTGCATCTTGTACAGCAAGTAACCACTAAGAAGAATGTATGCAGTGTGTTAATTATTGAAACTGTCCTACCGATTTGATTTGAAATTGTCTCATTGCTATTTGTTTATCAATGAAATTATGGCAAAAAATAAAAATAAAAGAAATGACATAGAAAAAAGAAAGAATGATAAACTCGAAGCCTTTATGTTTAAGTGGATGCCACTTGAACATATACTCATAAATGAAATAAACCAGACACATATGTGTAAAACAAAACAAAACAAAACAAAACAAAACAAAACAAAACAAAAATTCTGTGGTTCAGGCAAAAATAATACAACACTGGCTGTCTTCATGCCATGAGTGCTTGATCTTTAGTGCCGCCTACTTGACTTAGGAGAATGAGGCAAAAAAGGTCTAATGAGTGATGAAGTGGGACCCAGTGCTTTGTTACACTCTTCTGAGAATGTAAAAGGTGTCCGAGGCACCAGTTCTGTCCTAAAAAATATTCTAATACAGGATTGTCTTTATTTACTCTCACACCCTTGGAAGATTCTCTACAAGAAAAAGCTGTTCAGCTTAATGGAACAAAACGCTACCTAGTATTTACAAGTCAACCCTTGACTGAAAGCATACAGAAAATAGTTTTCAGCTGGTAGACCAAATAACAGTTCTATTTTAAACATTTTCCCCTATTTCTTTCAAATGTACAACTGAAATTCTGATGATAGTTTCACATTTCACAATCTTTGTTTCTCTTTTTTTCAGTATTGGGTCTATTTAGGTCTGCCAATGCAGAACACCAATTTTATTTTAATTTGATTCTTCTTTTCTCTTGAAAACTGCAAGTTAAACCCTTTTATATTATTCCAAAAGCAGGCTTCTTTTCTTTCTTCCATCCCTAGCTTCTCAAATAATTGCTCCTTTGTAAAGAACCGAACAATAGCAAACCACTGGTAATCTGTTGCTGGTTTAAATCCTATATTTAACCAGCAAGTTGTTTAATCAGAAACATAATCTGCCCCATTGGGTAACCAAATTTTGTTTAATGTATCTGAGAATAATATATGTGTGTCTCTGACAGAAACATGCTCATCTGGCTTCCCACACACAAAAGAAACTTTAGTACAAAATAGGTCACACCAAAATTATATCATTTGATAACATTTGAAAGTGGAAGATTGAAAGTTTAACCAATACTTTAGTTTTATTTTTATCATTCCACAGATGGTTTTTGGTGTGGTTGCTTTTTGTACTTTTAAATTTGCCTTTGAAACCATGAATTCTTCATTATTCTCAAATGTACATTTTGGAGCTGATTATGATTATATAGTATTGTGTTGCAGAATTAAATAGTTTGTGGGTTTTTCCCACTGACAGTCTTTTCAACTAGAAATAACAGTGCTAGAGAATTAAGATTGGAGACAAGTACCTAGTTTCAGTGTGGCTGCTTCCTAGCAACTTTCACCCCTTAACTTCTCTGAGTCTATTGCTCATTTAAAAATTAAAAAAAAATATTAGTACATAATGATTATGTGCATGTAGGGAATTGGTATATGTACATAACATCTCAATTCTTTTGTTTCTCTTCTCCTCTGCCCCTTATAAAAAAGGCTTTGTCAGAATCAGATTACTTTATTTATTTTATAAGTCTGTACCAAGTTAATTATCATAAATACAGAGTAGCAGCCAGATGAACAGGCCAAAAACATATAAAATATCTAAGACAAGTATACTAAGTGAAAGCCCACTTTTGTATACATTATCTATACTGGATTATAATAACACACACTTTCTCTCTCCCCCCCATCGTTTGCCTTTTATTTTTTACTTTATTTACATATCAAGTTTCTCATATAAGAGAAATCATGCAATATTTAAGCATATAAATCTGACTTATTTCATCTCCTGCTCTTTTTTTTTGCGGAACCGGGGATTGAACTCAGGCCCTTGCGCTTGCCAGGGAAGCGCTTATTCCACTGAGCCATCTCCCTGGCCCCTCCTGCTCATTTTTAACCACTTCAGATTTGGTTAAACACTAGATTTGGATCAAATAGTTGGGTTATCTTCAAACAGTTTTCTACGGGATGTTCTTCTATGCTAGATTGAGAATCAAAGTACCTAGAATTCCGTGGGCTGCGGCTGTAACTCAGTGATAGCGCATCTTCCTCACTCGTGCAAGGCCCTGCATTCTATCACCAGTAAAAAAGGGAAAATCACTGTTCTCATTTTTTTTTTCCTATTTGCAGAGCAATCTACGGCCAGATTGCTACTTTTTCCACATTTTTTCTTTCTTTATAGTTTGGAGCAGGGTGCATGAGGCTAGGGGAGGAGGGGCTGGGTTCAGTGAGCTTCAAGACCTCTCCAAGCTCTTAATTTGTTGTTTCTGTGACTGAAAGCAGAAATATTTCTTTCTTTCTTTTTTTTAAACTCTTTTATTTTATTTTTTGACAGAGTCATGCTATGTAGTTCAGGCTGGCTTTGAACTCATGGGGATCCTTTTGTGTCAGCCTCCAATGTGCTGGGATTACAGGTGTGTACCATGCTGCATTTGTTATTAGGCTGGTCTTGAACTATGTAGCCTGGGTCTATCCTTGAACTTGCAAGGATTCTTCTGCCTTCATCCCCTGAGTGCTGGGCTTACAGGTGTCCACAGGCTTCATTTGCCACTGCACTACTAACTCCCCAGTACTCTTGAGGCATGTGTTAGCCATGTTCTCTTCTGTGGGAAGTCCTTGAGGCAGCTTCAGAGGCTGGATTCTTATGAGATGCTTAACCACTTTCAGCTTTGCATTTACTGAAGGGATGTTCTTATGAACTTGAGGAGTGTGTGCTTTTTCTAATCCGAGCATCTTGATTACATCTTTTTCCCAATATGGTCGTCTTATTGTACTTTTTATTCTGGTAACAACATGTAGTTTATGAGGGTGCTGTGGATCCCCACCATACTTTTCATGATCTTCAGGTGAAGGCTGAAACACTTTATCTGGAATTCTTGATTTGGTAACTTTGTGACGAATCCAATCTGTACCCATGAGAGATTCCACAC